ACCGACCCCCACCTTTCCTGGTGATGGTAATCGAATCTATTGGCTCTTCTTCGATTCGCCCTCCCCATTGGCCACCTCCTTCTTCGCCTTCTCACCCACTCCGGTGATGGCCAGAAGAGGATCGTCCTCTGGCTTGGGAGCGCGGTAGCTTCCACCAAGCCTGTCGCACGTGGTAAAGTACTGGCCGTAGTTGCAAGTGAAGAAGAGGTGGTGCAGCGTGTGATGAGATGGGCCGTTGATGACCTTTTCCAGTGGCGAGTTGCAGATCATGTCGCTGTCGTGGATGAGAATCGACCAGAGGTTGACAAAGACGAAGAGACCCATGAAGATGAAGCGATGAAGGGGGAAGATGAAGGGGAAGATGTGGTAGGGCAACGACTGGGCGTATCCGTCGATAGGGTGGAAGGCGTGGGACGCGAAGGGAGTTGGGACTGGAGCGGGGAGGAGGAGACAGAGCTGTCAGCGTCGTCGGGCGCGCTCGTCATGGGGCGACGCGCAGAGCGAGATCGAGGCCAGCGGATCAAAGCCGTGACTCACCTAGCCACTTGTGGTGAGGCTTGTGAATGTGCTTGTAGATGAGCGGGTGGTGCTCGAGCCGGTGGATCCAGTAGATTGCGGTGTCGGTGAAGACGAGGAACAAAGGAACGGACAGGACGGCATACAGCCACCCGTAGTCGGAGATGTTGCTGTACATCATGCTGTGACCACGAACTTCAGCAACGAACCAGGGGACGGTCATCAGATCGAGGGGGAAGAAGGCGCGTAGCGAACACTCGATTTCGAGCCTGACCTGGTTCTTGTGGAACCTTGGGTGCTTCATCATCTCCTTGTTGAAAAGGTACTTGTAGGAGAGGCCGGCGAAGAGGAAGTAGAGGATAAAGATCCCAATGTAGGTGATGGTGAGGAGCGAGAGGAACTGGCGGACGATGTTGTCCCTTCCGAGAGCGCTGACGCCCTGAAGCGATTCCCACGCGACGTCGGAATCAGCGACGGCTTTCGCCACGCCGCTGGCAGTGCCGGAAGAGGCGGAAGCACCGGCAGTCGCAGCGGCGGCTTTGGAGCTAGCGCTCAGAGCCGAGGACCAGCCGGCGAGACCTAAACCGTTGGTGAAGTTCGAGATGAGCTTTGCTCCGGCCTGACCAGCGCCATTCCGTGATGCGGCCTGGACGAGCTCGGAGCCCTTGGCGACAGACCTTGGGACGGCTGGGTAAATCTTGGCCCAGACAGCGTCGAGCACCCACTCGTCAGCGTAATGAAGAACAACGTCCATCTTCTTCCCTTTTTCGAAACAGAATCAGCAGGCTTGCCAGAGGGTGTCAACCGTCAGATAGGCAAATCGGCAGGAGAGGACGTGAACACTCTTTGTTGGCCTGGAAGTCTACGTGGGCCGTCTCTCCTCTAGGAAATCGTGAAAGCCAATGGTAGTGGGGGGCCTATCCTCTCGACAGGTGAGTTGTATGCTCCTCACCGATGAAGGATCGGCAGAGATGTGGCTACTTTCGGAGAGGAAACCACAGAAGGGATTGGTCGTGTCCAAGAGAGAGAGTTACGGGAAGGAGAAGTTTGATGAAATAGAGCTTCGGATGAAGGAGAGTGCGTGAGTTGCTGTGACGGTCCGAGGCGAGCAACCTTAGTTTGAGCAGTAAGAGGAGAGGTAGAAGGGAAGGGAGGAGGGGGAGGGAAGAGGAGAGTAACGAGAGTGGTGAGGGCGGGGAAGGTAAGGAGAGTGGAAAGGGTGCTGGTATGAAGACCGGGAGGGGGCTGTCCACACGCACACGAGGTTGGGTGGCTGGTAGGAGGAGGATGGGGGGTGAAGGCGAGGAGGGAGGCGGCGGCGGCGGCGGCGGATACGGTGGTCACAATTCGGGGATGGTCAAGGGAGGGGGAGGGCAAGTGCAGGAGTGAGTCCACCTCGCGAGCAACTTGAAAAAAAGGGATCGAACCGAAAGGCAAGGTAAGAAGTGGGAAAATGAAACAAACAAGACCAAGCAACATTTGATTCTCGAATCCATGCGGGAAATCCAACAGTTCAAAGTCGAGAAGGAGAAGAAATTCCAAGGGAAAAAGGTAAAAACATACAAGAACCCGCACTCACACACTCACTCACACATAAACACTTGCACTCACTCGCTCACTCGCGCACTCTCTCTCTCTCTCTCACAGAGAACATGGGGCTGAATTCGAATAGAGTGATTCTAGCCACTCGGCGGTTGGTCAAGGACAGAGAAGGAAAAGCAGGGGATTGTGGGCATCCGGGAAAGAATAGGAAGTCAAGCCTGGTGACGACGACGATGGTGGGTCCACCTCGGTGCAGCACCTTGGATGAGCTGATATTCCTGGAAAGAGGGCCCTCCCCCACCCCCTCTCCCTCTCGAGTTCTACGCCTTCTCCGGCACTCGAACTGGGACGACGGTGTGTACTACATCTGCACCGAGTATACCCACTTCTTCGGTGTCTGTCCTGATCCTCCTCATCGGTTGCAGCAGCGCAGCGGCGAACCACGGAAAGGAAACCTTCGCAATCGCCTCTCTCCACCCACGGTGGCGGGGAAGGAGGGAAGGTGAACTGGCGAGAGAGAGGTGTGGCGGAAGTCCGTCCCCTAACCACCCACCACCACCCACCACTGTCACCAGCCCCACCTTGGATGCCCACCGCCACGCTTACTTGAAGGATGTGACTCTTATGCTAATCGTGCACACAACCCCTGCTGGATCTCAACGAAAGCCGTCAGGGTTTTTCGGGATAGGTTTGTTTTATTTTCCACTTCTATTCAGATCTCTCTCTCCTCGTCTCTTCTTGCGTTCGAGTGGAGACATGGGACTGTTGACCGTGACCGTTTACGTGAAAGTGCGTGCGCACAGAGTGGACGACAGTGAGTGCTAGACCGAGTGAAGCACCGCATGGACTGTTGCTCGCATGCCTTGGAAGAAACGAGATCCAACAACGCGACTCTATACAGTTCCTCCCTTCTTGTTGCACATGGAATTAGAGTATCGACGGATGTAAAGCTGTCTGTGGCCGAAGTTTCTTTCGTCTGGAGGTCTTTTCCGTTTCAGACTCAGCGGGAGAGCTCAGCGCTGGAGCTGTTGACGCGTTGGGGAAAAAAAAAAAAAAGAAACGAAACAAAACAAAACAAAAGAAAACAAGGGAAAGACTTCAGGGTGGGATTGCTGAACAAAGGGTCATTATACCAAGTGAAGCTTCGACTTGGCACGAGGCTAAGCTTCTTCTTTTCACGTAGATCCCTTCCGAAGCCAATTAACAAAGCGATTAACACAACGAAAGTCCCCCTTGATTTTTTTGTAATGAATTTTGAAATCCATCTCCAGATCCAAGGCTTTTGGATTCCCCCCCCTCGGCCTCACCTGGAAAGGCCAAGCGAGGAAAATCAGGCCATTTTCGCCTCCTCGGGTTCCCTTCCCCCACCCCACTTGGTTGAATCTTCCGGGGAGCAAAAGGTCTTGACAGTTTGTATATAACGCTTACAATAAGGCGAATAATCGGAAGTGAAAGAGGAATAGTCGTTTGCCACCACCCAACCCCCCTCCCCCCCCCCCCGCCAGAGTCTTCCACGATTTTCATCCACATTCAACCATGAAGCACGGTGAATCCATCACGTATCTAGAACAAGGCTTTAGTGTCGGTAGTCGAACTCCGGACAGCGAGGGGGTTCGACTTCGACTCGAAATCACGTTGTCGCTTTGACGGTTCAAACCCAATGCATACAAGTCGACAACAATGTCCCAAGTCACCTGACTTGGTCGGTTCGTGAACCGTGTCGACAGGGGTTGGAAACAGCCCACCCTTACTTCTTGATGATCAGATAAGAACGTCGATCGTAGATATCAGTGCAGCTAGAGGAAGCCAGCCCACCTTTGGTTCGATCCCCTGCAGGCATCTTCTAGCCTTGTACAACCAGCACTTTCTTTTTTTCTTCTTCCTTGCTCCTTCTCTTTAACAACCCCCCCCCCTTCCTTTCCATCCTGCAGAGTCCAGGAACACGGGTCGCCGACACGACAGGGAGGGGTTTTCATTAGCGTTCCGGTCATCGTGCCCGCGTTCGAAGTTCCCACATGAACGTCGTCAAGCACCCGTTGTTGTCGTGAGACGTGGGCAACTCTTCCCCAGACTTCGAATGTCGTCCTGTCAACCCTGGCCGTTGCCTACTTGGGATGGGAGAGGGCAGGGGCGCGTGGAATAAACTAGGTTATAAGCCCCCTCCCCCCGTTTTGATCGTGATCTTCCAAAGCTGATCGGCGGAAGACGCATCGAAGAGGGTCACGTCGTCGTGTTGCAGAGTCTTTGACGGGAACGAGCGGGTTCAAGCTCGTTAGGGATCGCTTGTTGTCAGATAGGGGGGCTGAGTCCAAGGTGAGCGGCGCGATGAAGGAAGCGGACCAGGGCGAAGGGATGCTGGAGGGCAAACTCGGGTGCCCGAGGGGGGGGGGGTGGCAAAGTAGGTAAACACGCGAAAGAAGACGACCATGTCGCAATGAGAGGAGAGAGGAAACGAAAGATGTCAGCAGAGCAACGCCAGCTGCGCAGAAAAGGGATGAAAAAAGGGCTGGAATGGGTTAAGGAAAACAGAGACAACGTGAACAAGGATGTGAAACGACAGGCGAACGAAGGGGCCATCCTAGCTGTGATGGAAAGGGTGTGAGGACGACCATCCGACACAACAGGAGCTCGCGGAAAGGAGCAAAAGGTCAATGTGCGCATCGTCAACAACTTGTCGGAAGGAGAGCCCACCACTCTTTCTTATTTATTTGTTTTTGTTTCTGTATCTAATTCTTCTTCCCCCTTCACTTGGTTCCCCCCGAGCCCGGGTCCATTCAAATATGAAAACGGCAATCGTCATACGCATGATCATAGGGCAAAGGTGGCTAATGATGGCAACTCGTAGCGTGAAGAGGTCGTGCGAAGTCTGCCAAAAGAAGGAAATGTCGAGGCAACCATGATTGCGGGGCAAAAGCAAAATGGGATGCAAAAGAAACGTAAGACGACGACCACAGGATTCGAACCTGTGCTCCCAAAGGGAAATGGATTGATAGTCGGGAGCCGACGTGATTCAAGTCCATCGCATTAGACCACTCTGCCAGGTCGCCTTCGTTCACTCACATTCGAAAAGGTGTGATTATGATCTTCAATGTATTAGCAAACATCAAGTCTCCCTTGGTCCTTGGCGCATTCACTTTTTTTCGTTTTTTGTTTGCCTTTTCAACCTCTTTTTTTTTTTTTTTTACTCTTTTTCGAAATGCCCAACCTCACACTCTCCAAGCTTGCTGAAGCTACCACCACCAGTCTTCTAAACCTAGAATACTGTTAGCGCGAAAGAAGGAAGGCTCGCTAAAGCCTCGTGGGCCATAGATTTCGATTCGTGTGCAACAGTGCCTTCTCTCGTTGCTAAAAGGTAACCACGAAAGGTTTACAACCCGAAACAAGCCGCGTCACTGGGACCTAGGTTGCTTTGTGGGTCCCGCTAGGGACCGGTTCATGGGTCGCCGAGGTTCACTGAGCTGAAGAAAGTTCCTTGCATCGAACAGCAGAGCTGAAAAGGTCGATCTCTATCCGGGAGAAGTGGAGATGGAAGGGGGGATGGGGTGTGGGGCTGCAAGAGGATGGTCGGAATGGAGAGGATGCACCTGTTTGTTTCTTTTTTTTTGGGCAAGTCGTACCATCCAGGTAGCCCCTCGACTTTGGATAATGCCTTACCCTTCCGTTCATAGAACCAATTCCAGCAGATTCACAAGTACAGATCGAGGAGAAGGCTGGGCTCCAGAGGCCGTCACAGTGATGGAAAGTTTTTTTTTTTTGGGGGGGGGGGGGGACTTTTTTCGATCTTGTTTTCTCGTCATTGATCTTGCGAAATGGGAAACGCCAATATTGGGAGTGTATCCGATCTCAAGGCTTCCCTATCCAAGTGATCGGGCGATTTGGCGGAGTGGTTAACGCGGTAGATTAGAATATTAAATAGAGTTCATCAATTGATCTTCTTCCCCCTGGGAGCACAGGTTCGAATCCTGTAGTCGTCGCTTACGTTTTTGACGTTTTCTTTTCCCCATTTTTTTTCAACCTTTTCATGTTTGCCAAATTCGACTGGTAAATCAGCGATCTATAATGTACAACCAAGAGGGAAAAGCATGCGAACGGGCGATTTGGCGGAGTGGTTATCGCGGTAGATTAGAATCTCTCGATTCACAATTGATCTTCTTCCCCCTGGGAGCACAGGTTCGAATCCTGTAGTCGTCGCATATCCTTTTTGTCTTACAAACAACCATTCCTCTTGATTCGGTAGACACCATTTTTTTTTTTGGGGATACTCGCTCTCGAGTCGATGGCGAAGTCCAGACACCGCGCACGGTCGGAGAGGTTCGACGATGGCGGTGGAATCTCAGTGTGGGGAAGCAAGGGCTGCGCAGACTTTAGGAACTGACAGGTAGGCGAATAAACCTTTTTCTTTACAAAGAGACCTGGGGGCGTGACCAAAGACAAGGTCCTCCCCCCCCATATCCTTCCTTGTCCCCCTGAAAGGCCTCTCGTTTTTATGGACACTTGAGGGAGAGGATGGTGAGGGAGGGCGTGAAAGCGAGACGGAAGGAAGGGAAGACAGTGGAATGGCATGCACGTGGTAAGGAAGCGATGTGAAATGAAAAAGAGAGGCACAAACTTGGTTCCACACGCGGTTCACATCAGGATAAGACGAGGAGGTATGATAAGGAGAGCAAATGATCAAAGAAAAAAAGAGGGTCACTCTTCCATCACCGAGCCAAAGGGGTTTGATATTACAAGCAGAAAGGCTTAGTTCATCTGTTGTGGTGCGGGTTCGGAGGGCAAGAGGGTCGGGGGTCGAGGAGGTGAGCGGGGGAGGAGACGAAAGGGTCGGGAGGAAGGGACCAGAGGAAAGAGGGGGTTGCGGATGGGTTGTCAGTTTGGAAGAGCTCATTCGCATTTTTCTGGGCCCGCCAGGCTCGATCCCATAGATACGGTGGGGGAGTTTTTCACGGGAACGCACCTGTCTAATGAGCTTGTTGATGGCCTGCTCACGGTCACCAGTGTCACCTCCCTCGATGAAGTGAGTGAACTTGCGCTTGTGGAAGCCTCCGGTTGGGTTGGAGAGCTTGAATGGCCAGAGGAACTGGAGGACGGCCTTGAGGTTTGGTCCGCAGGTGGCGATCTCGTGAACAATGTCCTCGATCGAGATGATGCCGAACTTGCCAAGGTGAGCCTCAACGACAGAGTTGTCGGTGATTGGGACCCTCTGCTTGTTGATCTTGGCGTATCCCCTCTTGTAGACGAGCTCGCGGATCGACTTGAGGTTTGGCTCACCGTAGGTGACGTATGGCTCGACGAGGGTGAGCATCTGAGCGGTGGCCTTGGTCAACTTGATGAAGACACCGTTGTTGATCTGGAGCAGGCGGAGGAGCTGGAGGATCTTCTTTGGCTTGGGGGCAATGTTGCTGATACCACGGAGACGGACAACGAAGACAACCTTTGGCTGGGCTGGAACGTAGAACTCTCCCTGGGACTTGGCAACACGGCGGAGGCGGATCTCCTCACGCTCGGCAGCCTTGTACTCCTTGGTGTACTGCTCGGCGCGCTTGAAGATGACACGGCGCTTCTGCTTCTGAGCCTATTCGTTCACAATTGTTCCGTTTCCGGTACGGGTCGGCGAGGAGGGGTTGGGCGATGCGAGGTTGGTTGGAGGGAGAGTCAGCGCTTGGGTTCCCATCTGCCTGTTACGACAAGCAAGAGTGAACTGGTCTGTCTGGACTGGCTTCGCCATGCTCGGAAGATCGTTCCTTGGGACTTCCTTTCCACCCGCCATGTTCTGCCTTCTGATGGATAAGCTCGCCTCTCCACCAATCCATCCAAATGGCAACTATGCCTCTCTACTAAGCGTGTGTCAGCCCCGAAAGATGGTTAACATTCGGCAGCACTGTTCCGAAGAACTAGCCCGAAAGATAGGTGTGTTATGCATCACTCTGTCGCTTGTAGTGTAGACTAGCCTGGTCGACTCGTCCCAATCGTCCAAACCGCTCGCCCAACCAGGAATGCTCGAGTATGGAAAGTGAGCCCGAGTGTTTTCAAGGCCTTACTTCGATGCCATCCGACCTCCGTCGATGCCAGGTCGTACGCTCCATTAACGTTCAAACCTATTTCTCTCCTCCTCTTCCACTATTACCCCGCCGTCCATCCGAAGTTATCCACCTTACTTTCCTTCTCTCCTGTAGCCGTGATTGGGATCAAACGACAAGGGGGCCTGTTGTGCTCCACGGATGAATGGATGACTCACCTTCTTGAGCTCAAGAGCCTTGGCGGCCTTCTCCTCACGAGCCTTGGCGTCAGACTTCCTCTTCTTGAGGAGAGTCTCCGGAACAAGGACGTCGTTAACCGACGGAACAGTGCTGTAGTCGAACAAGAAAGAAGGATATGAGAACCATTGAGAATGTCAGGATGCCGCTTGACCTTAGGATCTGTTTTCTCGCCTTCTCTCCTCGCCCGTTGATCCTATCATCCATGAAGCCCCATGTCCCTTTGAGCCTCCTCCTAACCTTGCACCGTGAAAGGATGGCCCATTTCCCAAGGCCATCCTTCCACCTGCTAAAGCTGTGCGATCAAGCAGAGCGGGGGAAGAGCCTTGTCCCAGAACGGAATCGTAGGGCATTCATTCTTCTCTCCAACTCTGAATTTGACCCGATCCGTCCTTGGTAGGTTAACTGGCCGTGATGCCCTCCCTCCGATACCATCCACCCGTATCAACCAACTCAAATCCCAACGTGCCGACCACCGAAAGACGACGGCTCAACCCGAGCGGTGATCATCTTTCCATGAAGCGTCTATCCGATCCTTTTTTTTGTTCCCCCCCGCTCTTTTCGTGGATTGGTAGCGGTTCATGTTGTCCCTTGTATACGATGGTGGACGATTCAGTTGAGTTGAAGAACGTAGACACTTACGTCTTGACCTCGACTGGCATCTTGAAGAATGTTGGTGAGGGGAGTGTGAGGGGAGGTTCGGAAGGGGAGGAGAAGGAGGTGAACGCTTTTGGAAAATTTGGCAGGGCACCCACTCGGTCTCGTCGCCTGCCTCACAGTCTCTCCCTCTCTCCCTCTCTCCCTCTCTCCTTCCCTCCCTCCCTCCCTCTCTCTCCCCCTCTCTCTACGTAGCAGGCTCGGCTTGCGCTTCATGATGAGTCGCCTTGCCACTCTCTCTTCTTCGACCCTACTCACGCAGCCCCCTGTGCCTCCGTCCTCTGGCCTCCCCTCTCTGCTTGCTCCTTGTGTTGTGACCTTCTAAACTTTGCTGTCGAGTTTCTCCCTCCCTCTGTCTGACTCTCTCCCCGCCTGTCTCCCTCTCTCTCCTCTCAGCGAGACAAAAAGTCCGAGCCGAGAGCGAAAGAAACTTTCTCCAGGAGGAAGGGGAACAAAGATTTAAAATTCTACGGACACAAAGTTCGAATCGAATCGAATCGAACCCGCTCATAATATCACGTGACAAGGAGGCTGGAACTGTAAAAAATTCTCACGTTCCTTCTGCTTCAATTCTCATCCAAGATCAAGAACGAACCAGCCATCTCTCTCCCTCTCTCTCTCTCTGTATCTCACTTTCACATCGGGCAAGCGGATCTAGATATCCTTCCCCTTCCAGATCGTTGGTTCCATGAACTCCCCTCTTCTTTTCCGGATCCGAAGTCGGATGGGGTGATCCGTGCGACGTGGTCGGTTGGGATAGAGATCCCGGCCTGGTTCACCAGGAAGAGGGGTACCAACCTACCCAGAACCGTATCACCAACTCCACACACATGCACTCTCTTTCTCACACTCTGACAAACCACCCTTGACCATCTGTAGCGACAGGAGACCCACCGAAAACTGTTCACCCACACACTTCCACACCGAACGAACCGTGGAACCCTACGCTTTCCTCGGTGAACCCTTGACCGATTCACTCCTGTTCGAGAAGAGGAACAGCAAAGCAACACCCGGCCAGATGGCCGCACCGCTAGTGACTCCAACCCAAGGTGAGGAGCGATGACAACCTCGGGCCAATGATCGCTTAGTCACAAGATCATAAACCGATTCGAAAACCTCTTCCGTGTTTAGCTATC